TCTTCAGCCTGAAGAGTAATTCAACATTTGCTGCCTGCTGCCCTGCTCTGCTGTCCCAATAATGGAAATTTTAAAAATAACTATTTAAAATATCCACATCAATGATTATTTACAGTTCACAGAAATGGAAGCTGAGGGATACTACATCCACATGAAGGTTGGGCTCAGAAATGTACAGTTATGCCGTTTATGTAAAATACTGGGTTTGCCATAATTTGTGTGTCTATAAAATTAGGATTTTTCATTTTTTAAAGGAAAGAGTCTGACCTTTCCTGAAGTCCAGAGTGCCAGGTAAGCTATAGAAAGAAGGAAAGCTTACTGGTGAAGAATAGAGAGGGGAGCAGATAATTATTTTGACACTTAAGCTTCTCCCACGAGCCATTTAACAATTATGCAATTGTTCTTCTACCGTATGCACTCATAGCAATTAACAAATTATTAATTAAATGTTACATTCACCATTAATGACGATATCATCTGACATCTATGAGTACAGCTAAATAAAGACTGAGGAGTACCTATGGAAGTAAGGTAAAGGTAAAGGGACCCTTGACCATTAGGTCCAGTCGTGACTGACTCTGGGGTTGCAACACTCATCTTGCTTTATTGGCTGAGGGAGCCGACGTGCAGCTTCCGGGTCATGTGGCCAGTATGACTAAGCCACTTCTGGCAAACCAGAGCAGCGCACAAAAACACCGTTTACCTTCCTGCCAGAGCGGTACCTATTTATCTACTTGCACTTTGACATGCTTTCAAACTGCTAGGTTGGCAGGAGCAGGGACCGAGCAACGGAAGCTCACCCCCTCGCGGGGATTCGAACCGCCAACCTTCTGATCGGCAAGTCCTAGGCTCTGTGGTTTAACCCACAGCTCCACCGTGTCCCTTTACCTATGGAAGTAGGAGGATCAATAAGCCATGATGACATTCTAATACTGTGAATAAGACCCTCTTTGAAAAGCATCAGAGAAAAGGGGGAAAGGAAAGGAGAAAAGGAGGTTGCACCCATAAATTAATTTGTTTACACATCCAGCTTACTCAACCATAGCAACTTGTTAAAATTATACACTCCATCACTCTAATTTTCTACAAAAACAAAACATATTGAATCCCCACAGTGCTACAGCAAGCCAATTTTGGGCTTTTCTCCAGTACAGTAACTAAAAATAGTCATTATGTAAGGTTTGTGATTTCAGAAGAAGGAAGCCCTACAGTTGGACAACAGGAACCGTGAAGGCCGCTCCATGCAGTTTCAGTTTAGGAACTGGATTTGGAACTAAAATATCACCAAAGGGGTCCCAGGGACACAAAGGCTAGTAGATGCCAGCCCACTCTGTAACGCAGTTGCGACACACAGCTAATGAAAATCCACACAGTGATTCCGTATGGAAAACACGACACGCTTCTGTATGGCTGTCCTAGACCCAAAATGAGATAAAACATACCTCAAGTCAGCACCCGGGAATATGATTCTGGATGAAGACTGACAAACTATCTTGGATTATTCTCTCCGGCTGCATTTCCTTTGAGGAGTGGGTGCTGCGGAAGAGAAAACACACACACGCACACAATTTCAAAGTGCAAACTGACACAAGCTCCAATGTGTAATGCTGAATTTGCAAGCCAAAATACGAGACGTGCTCCCTCTGCCAGATCAAGGCACCACTCAGGTGATTTTGTACTGTACTGAGTCGATGCAGGCATTTCCCAGCAAATGCAAGTATTCCCCAAATCTAAATGTGCCAAGAAAGATCACAGGCCCCAGCAGTTCTTCCCTGGGGAAGCTACTGATTTTTGAGCCACGGGCCTCAGGTGAAGGAGAAGTGGAATATTCCAGCCAAGAACTCAGCTTAGAGCCAAATTCTGCATGCTCAATGCACGAGTGCATTTAGCATACCAGGTGGGCTTTCTCTCTTAAGCCACCAGGAGTCATGATCAAGATCATGCCCCACTGTATGCAATGATAATAATAATTTATTATTTCTACCCTGCCCATCTGGCTGGGTTTCCTCAGCCACTCTGGGCAGCTCCCAGCAGAGTATTAAAAACACGATAAAACATCAAACATTAAAAAACTTCCCTAAACAGGGCTGCTTTCCGATGTCTTCTAAAAGTCAGATAGTTGTTTATTTCCTTGACATATGATGGGAGGGCGTTCCACAGGGCGGGTGCGAATACTGAGAAGGCCCTCTGCCTGGTTCCCTGTAACCTTACTTCTCGCAGTGAGGGAACCGCCAGAAGGCCCTCGGAGCTGGACCTCAGTGTCTGGGCTGAACGATGGGGGAGGAGGCGCTTCTTTAGGTATACTTGTGTGTCTAGGACTACAATCTTTTCCCAGTCTCCTGTTGAAAAGCACCCCACTCACCCCCACTACGGACACCAATAGTACTTGGTGTGTGATTTTCATCAGGTAAACGTTACATAAACCCCCTCCGCCCCTGGAGTCTCAGTCCCACCTGCAATTTATTTAGGTATAGATGAAAATGTTTCAGGGACAGAACTGCGAGGGAGGAATAGCACATTCAAGCATTTGTTTTTGCTGGGCTCGTATCGGGATGATGTGATTAGAGCTGTCAAAGGCTCCATACGTAATCATTTGCGTTCCAGATGTTCTGGAATAACGACAATGATCTGTCTTGGCACACGGCCGGCAAAATATCCAATGGAAAGGAAGGAGTACCGGGGGAGTAAGCGCATTGATATGAATGAATGGCGTTTAACTAAAACCAGGTGTAAATATGTGCAAGTACCACAACGGTAAGAAGGATTTTGTGTCCTGCGTTGTAAAGAGTGCCATGAGAATACTTTCCCTAGCATGGCAGTGAAGTCATGGGGGGCCAGGGGGGGGGGGGGAGAGAAAGGTTGCCGCGGCGAGACTCCTTACGGGGTCTTCGCTGTGAGATCACATTCACCCGTGCTATACTCAGCTGCACTGGGCTCCGGTGGAGGTACAGGATCAGGTTTAAGGTGCTGGTCTTAAACCTTTAAAGCCCTATACGGCCTAGGACCCTCGTACCTACAGGACCGCCTCTCCTGGTATGTCCCACAGAGGAACTTACGGTCTTCAAATAAAAACATCCTGAAGGTCCCAGGCCACAGAGAGGTTAGGCTGGCCTCAACTACAGCCAGGACTTTTTCAGCTGCGGCTCCAATCTGGTGGAACGCTCTGTCATAAGAGACCAGGGCCCTGCGGGACTTGACATCTTTCCGCAGGGCTTGCAAGACAGAGCTGTTCCACCAGGCCTTTGGTCAGGGTGCAGCCTGACTCCATCCTTTGGCAATCTTTATAGAACTTAAGCTTTATGGTTGCCATCAATTGGATTTTAATTAATTTTTATAATGAAATGCTTTTAGAATGTTGCACTATTTTATTGTTGTTAGCCACCCTGAGCCCGGCTTCAGCTGGGGAGGGCGGGATATAACTAAAATTTATTTATTATTATTATTCTCATCAACTCGGTTTCTGCATGTCAGGCTGCCGTGAAAAGGAACTAAAAAAGGACCAATTTACAAATATGAAGGACAGCAGGACCATAAAGAAGCTGGATATTTCTGCAGTCTGTTGCAAAAGCACACACACACACAAATAATTAGCATAATATTAGTAACCGCCAAATAGATATGTGTGCTTTTGTAATAATTTGGAAAGGGTGTCTGAGAAGCCTCTGAGCATCCTTCGCCTAGGCAGGATGGGGGAGGCCATCATTAGGGTGCCATCATTAGGCCAGGTAGGGCACAGTTTTATAGAATCATAGAATCATAGAGTTGGAATAGACCACAAGGGCCATCGAGTCCAACCCCCTGCCAAGCAGGAAACACCATCAGAGCACTCCTGACATATGGTTGTCAAGCCTCTGCTTAAAGACCTCCAAAGAAGGAGACTCCACCACACTCCTTGGCAGCAAATTCCACTGTCGAACAGCTCTTACTGTCAGGAAGTTCTCCTAATGTTTAGGTGGATCTTCTTTCTTGTAGTTTGGATCCATTGCTCCGTGTCCGCTTCTCTGGAGCAGCAGAAAACAACCTTTCTCCCTCCTCTATATGACATCCTTTTATATTTGAACATGGCTATCAGATCACCCCTTAACCTCCTCTTCTCCAGGCTAAACATGCCAGCTCCCTTAGCCGTTCCTCATAAGGCATCGTTTCCAGGCCTTTGACCATTTTGGTTGCCCTCCTCTGGAC